ATTTTATCATCCTAGGAAATTCTCCACTGAGCCTAGCTATTACTCAGGATTTTGCTTGTTGGTGCTGAATATTCAGGATTTTCTCCCCCAGGCTAGAGAAAGTGAGAACAAAGCTTTTGGTAAAAGGGAGAGTAACTTTTGGCCAATCTTGCAGAGATGGAACAAACAAGCAAACAAAACATCCACACTTTGCTATCCAAAAGTTCAAATGAAATTTAAAAGAATGAAATGAAGGGAAAGACCTAGATTGTTCCTGGATAACATTTGTCATGTTGATCCAGAATCTTTAGTGACTCATCTTTACTGTCAGTAGGAAAGGTAGTCATTTCACAGACTTATTCAGGACAATCATTTGAATATTCTCCCTGGGAGGAAATAGCATGAAAGCCGGGAACCACCAGATCAATGATTTCTGGAAGCAAGGGGAGGGATCCTTTGGAAGGGTGTGTATTTTCACAGGAAACAGTAGAGGGTGGGAATTGTAGCCCAGGTGGGCAGATTTGTTCCCATCACCTGAGGGTCAGCATCCACTGACACATATACAGAATGATCCTCCTAGAATTACCACGAAATTTAGTGCCGGTTAAGGGCAATATACCGCTTCCCAGGTTTGTTAAGAAATAACTGGTTTAGGAAACTCATTTCTGTCCATGTTTACAAGTTTTCAGAATTAGGTCCTGAGACGTCTAGAGAAGTAGAGGTACTGCTTCCTCCAGCAACAAGGAAGGCAGGACACACTCCAATGGAGCAAAGCTCAGGGAACCAAGGTTCCATTTTGATGTCAGAAAGCACTTCCTGACAGGACCCCAAGGGTATGGAATGGGCTTCCATGGGAGGTGGTTGAGGCCCCATCATGAGGGTGTTCAAAGATAGACTGGACATTCACATGGTGGGCAATTCGTGAGCAGCACCAGCTGGAGCCAGGGGTTAGACTAGATGGCCCAGGAGACCCCTTCTGACTCGCTCTGTTTCTATATTTCTAAGTTCTACATCATTTGAGTGTTATTAGCACGATTCCTTTATTTCTTTTTTAACTGAAGGTCTTTTTCATCAATTGACCATGGTGCAGAAGGTGAGCAAAAGGTAGGTAGGGGACACCTTACTTGAATGTTTGTGTAGATTGGTAAATCACAGTACGGCTGTACACCTGTGCAGATTAGAAGCTGGGCTTTGTGATGATGTATGGCCGCCTTTCCACTCCAAGCAGATTCCTGGCTCTTCTGTTTCTCCCCACCAGTGAGTGCTGATGTGATTGGAAGGTCACAAAGCATTACAGGATGATCTGCAAAGAGCTAGCATGAAATTGGAAACTGTGCAGGGAGCCAAATCATTCTTGACTCCACTACTAGGCACTAAGAATGCACAGAATGAGCATGAACACTAATTCATGCACAGACACACTAATTAAAAATACAATAATAATAATAATTAAAAATACAAAGTCACTTGTGATGGACTCGAGTTTTATTCTGCAAA